TAAATGTATTTGCTTGGCGTCCTTTTCAAGGAAATCTAACGTAAGCATTTTCTCAAACACGGGAGAAGACATCGAAAGAATGCATTTATGGACGTTAAACTTGGTGTTTTCGACGACGAGCACCAAATCACTGAAGTGTCGAGGAGATGAAAAGTCATAACCTTCATCATTATTGCTTTTCAACTGTGCCATCTTTTTGGCTCTTGTTGAGTAGGAACAACAAACACGAAATTGAAAACTTTTGGTAACTTCAACCACTTATAATTACAGAGGGGGAAAATCAACAAAACAGGCTATTGGCATTCCTACACAATAGTTAACAGCATGAAATAAGTTTCTGAACTATGCAGACACATATTATGTCAAGTGTTTGTAAGAAATAGAATCACTTACTCTTCACTTCATACTAATGCTTCGAGCTCCAATTCATCCAAGGTGAAAATTTGTAAAAGAAATTGACTTATTTCGTTTAGACATACAATCAGGTAGAAATTGACTTAAATTCAAAAGATAATCAGATATGACGATATAAGACTAGACCTATTCCTTTGAGTTCCACGAATTATACATCATAGAATTATTGATCTATTTAAATAATAGAAAATATTTCCAAGAACTGATTATAACTCGAACCTTCCAACAATCTCATTATGATCAAAATAATCACATGTACGTTGGATTTTGGCGTCAAAGTCATCCAGACAAGTCAGTAAAGATGCAACACTTAAATGATATTTCACCAAATATTCAACTGCTTATTTACTAGAGGTGGAAATGATATTGATTATTATCGTGCATAGCTAGCCTGTCGTGGCATGACCACAGAGTTAGTCAAATGCAAGGTAAAACAAGGTCAGAATAGGACACGTACTTAGATCTCATGACTAACGTATGACCGTCACGATAAGACTTGCCTTAATAATTAATGAGGGCCCGTGAGCTGTATTCCCTATATTCGTCAAGTTATCGCTCGTCTGGTTAACAAACAATAAAACTATTCTAAAATATTGACCGAATTTCTGTCTCCGCATAACATATCAGCGGTTATATGAATTAGTTCGATACACTTTCACATGCTACAGAACGATATAAATTTGACGATAAACTGTAAAAAAAAAGTTTTGAAAGCTTGCAGTAGAGAATTTCTTAAAACTCCCATTTCAAGACAGTTGCTGATAATAAACTGACAAAAGAGAATGCAATTCAAATCTTTCTAGTCCCTTCAAATCTTTCTAGTCCCTTCAAATCTTTCTAGTCCCTTCAAATCTTTCTAGTCCCTTCAAATCTTTCTAGTCCCTTCAAATCAAAGGCTTTCATGGGCTGATTCTGCAATAGCTTTTCAACTTAACTTTTAACTATAAATCTACTCACGTTATTTCATTTTTAAAGTATTAAACATGTGATGAAAATTGCATGGCCATACAAAGATTGATGCTTAGATGTGTCTTCTTTAAGTTGGAATAATTTCTGACACAAAAATAAATAAATAAATTGAAGATTTATTACAGCATATTATTACAAACAAGACTCTCTAAAATTATCATTTTTGTCAGTTTGTTCAAGCATTACATTTTGCAAGTTCCCAATCATAAAGTACTTCTTTGAACAACCCTCCATTAGTCTCGTTGTTTCTTCTCTTGCAAGGTTTACATGGATGCTCAGAGAAAAGTTCACACTAAAAAATTYWATTCGRTACACAGTAGATAATAAGGTTCAGAGCTGCATAGGACAAGCCATAAAACTAAATTAAACGCATTGCTTACTGATAAATGGAATTTTGTGTCTTTTGAAGGTGAAAGAATCAAGGTTTTTCTTGCAACGCGGCTCTTTAGCTAGTTTATCAGTTTATCGAAGTGATTCTCTAATAGAAGAAGGTGCTGGCTCCTGGTCTTCATTTCTTTTGCATTTCTTTAAAGATTCATCAAAATATCTGTCTTGTTTGGCAAATACCATCTTCTGATTCTCTTTTTTTAATCCACGAAACTCCTCAGAACTTTCCAAAACCCAGCGAGGTTTGCGAGATGCCACTTCTGCACACTTTTCCATGACATCTTCAAGGTTGTAGGATTCCGCTACTTTATAAATCCCAAGACAATTGGATTCTTCAACGTTTGAGATTAAAAACTTGCAGCACAGATGTTTTACTTTATTGACTTGGTATTCTTCAGCAATTTGGAGGAGAAACTCATAGTTTTCCTCTGCAAATGTATTAAATATTTGCTTAGAATGAAGAAGATCTGTGAAATTGTTGAAAGATTTTCAGTTCAATTCCTTTCCTCGACAAGTATCCAATAATCTTTTAAATAAGTTTCGGATTCCCAAATTGGAAATTAGTGATTGCAAAATAATAAAGTGAATCAAAGGTTGATATTTCCGTAAATTTAACACAACTATTTTTTCGGATAACATTCATGTCTTTTTCTCTTCTATTCACCCAACACTTACCGTTGGTTTGCTTTCCTTGGGAAATTACGTCTGCGTAAATCACTCTTAGAAAAGCACCAAATTCAGCTCTTTTCTTCCCTGGTAGATCTATTTGCTTGGCGTCCTTTTCAAGGAAATCTAACGTAAGCATTTTCTCAAACACGGGAGAAGACATCGAAAGAACGCATTTATGGACGTTAAACTTGGTGTTTTCGACGACGAGCACCAAATCACTGAAGTGTTGAGGAGTTGAAAAGTCGTAACCTTCATCATTATTGCTTTTCGACTGTGCCATCTTTTTGAAGTCTTCACTTCAAACTAATGAATTCGAGCTCCAATTCAACCAGTTTGAAAATTTGTAAGAGAAATTGACTTAAGAGATAATCAGATATATCAGATATAACGATATAAGTCCAAACTCATTCCTTCGACTTCCCTACCAATTATATAATATTAATCTATTCAGTATTAAATTGCAAAGATTTCCCGGGGAACTGATTGTAACCCGAAGCTTCCAACAATTTAATTGTGAACAAAGCAAGCGTCGAAAATATCTGAAACGAGAAAAAACGTTGATGTACGTATTATGGCATCAAAGTCATCAAGACAAGTAAAGTCATTCATAACTGAGACATGCAACAACTAAATTAAAAGATATTCAACTATTTACTCGAGATAGAATCAATACCGATTATTATAAATAGCTAACCTGTCGGGACATAATTGTTGAAATGCAAGGTCCAAGCTTGGAATAGGACACGTACTTGAATCACAAGACTAACGTATGACCGTTAGGACAAGACTTGCCGTTACTTATCAACTGTATTTTTATATTCGCCAAGATATCGTTCGTCAAACAATAAAACTATTCTAAAATATTCACCGAATTTCTGTCCCATAACATATCAGCGGTTATACGAATTAGTTGGATGCCCTTTCACATGCTACAGAACAGGAAGAGATAACTAGCTAAAAACTAGAGTGAGCTACTAGTAGTAGTATAAGAGCTCTTTTACTCCGACGAGGGACTAGAGTCCGAAACATCAGTAAGTTTTTTCTTGCTACAGAACAATATCAGTTTGAGAATAAAGTAAAAAAAAAGTTTTGAAAGCTAGCAGGAGAGAATTTAATAAGACTCCCATTTCATACCTCAAATGGCGATTCGTGGGGAGTAGGAGAGATGTCCGTTGGACTTTGGGTTTTCGATGCTGTCAATCAAATATTACTCCATAGCTATTGCGATCAGATTGACCGTTTGCAACAGTTGAAATAAAAATTGCAAGCGATAACTCGCAGCTAAATTATTGCAGAGTTCGCTGCGTGATACTGAAAGCTCATCCATTAGACGTATTAGCGACCTTTAGATACGACGACGAGTACGAGTACGAGTAACGCTAAATCGTAGTCGATTTCCGATTTTTTACAGTCTAAAGTTTCAATCTATTTTATACACGATCAAGACTTCAAAGAGATAGTGCCAATCTTTAAAAGTTTTAACTCGGACTCGTTCTCGTACTCGTCGTCCGAACAACCACGATGTGACCAGACTCTATTATATATTTGTAGTCAAATACGAGAGGCAGAGCTTGGTAAATTAGAGATTTGCCAAACCCTGTTGGAAGATTGACAAAAATATCTTTTTTCTCTTCGACTAAAGTTTTGATAGCCGACTTCTGATGCGCATTTAGATCAGGAATACCGAACTTTGAAGACACGAGGCCAAACATGTACACTTCTTTTATGAGCGAGTTGAGAATGCGAAATAAAAGCTGCACGGTGTTTGGTCAGATCAAAAGTCCGCGAACGGTTCTCTAAATATGTAAACCGTCTTGTGATTGGCCAAACAATGAGAAAGGAATGTAGTTCGAATGCAAGCAGCAGTTTGTGGGGAGGGAGCGTTGCGTGACGACCGACACTAAAAACGGATGCGAGGGAGACTAAGGTCGAGCTGGATGCATCGAAAAAGGCTCTTTTCATTATTCACATCTCAAAATCACGGCGGTATTCAGCGAAAAAATCTTATTAACTCGATCGAGTGAAGTTTTATTACTGATCAACAGTTGTATTTACTAAGTGACTTCTTACTAGTAAGGAAATAATCAATGTAGATGTAGATCGTAGACAAAATTGCAAAAGACGAAAAAAAGAACATTTCCAATGGATTTTTGAAGAATTCGGCAAGTTTTATCATTCAAATAAGCCGTTCTGAATAAAAAGTAGATTGATCGCCGCACATTACAAACAGCCGAAGCAATGTTCTTGTATGTTGAAATGTGCTCGAATTTACAGACTTGGATGAAGACAAAATAAATAGCATTTCCAAACGAATTTCTATAAAATATTCGCTTAGTTCACAGTGTAAATGAATAGTTTCGTGTAGGAGCCGTGACCCTTGAAGGTAAAGATAAGTAGTAATGTAAATCAACGTAACGCATAACGCAACGCATTTTGTTGATCGTCCCGATTGTATCGTAAACGGCCGATTATCTTGTATATTCAGTTTTGAGATCGTAGGTCGAATGATTCCTGCAATAAAACACACAGCCCGCCTTTTCAATTGAAAACAGAGAAAGCATTTGCAAATAGATCTTCTTCCAATTATACTCTATGCTTGACTCAGTTGACTCCATCGTAATTGAACATTTCGTAATTGAACATTTCGTAATTGAAGTTCAGACAATTAATTCATCACAGAATTCGCTTCCAAACTGAACAAAATAACAAAGAACTAAGTGTTGAAAGGAAAATAAAAGAATTATTACTCATTTTACCAGCTAAATTGAGTATTTAAAAAAACATGAAATCGAGCGAAATACTTTGAATCCTTTGAATGTCAACAAGCATAAGAAAGGCACAGGAAGCCCAATATCCGAAAAGTGCAACAAGTATCCACGAGTTTGCCAAAGGGCGGTTTGATTTATTGATTCATTCAGTAGAGCTTTTAAAAACATCAATTCACCACTACTCTTCCATTTTCGTATGCTTCAGTAAGCCGTTTGCATAGCAAGACGGTTGGTGATAATGAACGGGTAACAGTTAAGAGAATATGCAATAAGGAATTCTGCTAGTGGTAATGGAGTAAATCTAGGTTTATATGCCGATGCAAGTGGAATACATATAATTCTAGTTCCTTCAAATCAAAGGTTTATCATGAGAAGATTCTCCAATAGCTTTTCAACTTATCTTTTAACTCTCAATTAAACGCATTGCTTACTGATGGAATTTATGAATGGAATTTTGTGTCCTTTGAAAGTGAAAGAATCGAGGCTATTTTGCAACGTGGCTTTTAGCTAGTTTTGGTCGTGATTCTCTAATTAGAGCAAAGTGAGGATGCTGGGTCCAGGTCTTCATTTCTTTTCCACTGTGCAAAGGCCTTGTCTTTTAAAGTGTATATGACACGAAAA